TGTATAATTATGATCTCATGTTATGTGTCAATATACATTCTTCAAAAACAACAGGTTTGGTAAGATGCAACAGCTATTTATATTGAAGGAGATGGTCTCCCAGCTATACAGAGGTATGGCATCAAGTGATCTGAAGCTCAGACTGGTAGGAGGGCAGGGTCATATCAAGCTTTATTCAGTTTACTGATGGAGCTCTGCTTCAAAGTTCTTTGCAGATAGGAAAGCTGGAAATTGCAGTCAACTTCAGTAACATTGATATCTGCCTTTTAAAATTTATTGTTTCTGCAGGCTATTTAATGTGATGCTGCTCCCCCTAAGGCAGGACAGTGAGTCTGTTATCACCACCACTTTTTGCTTTGCTTTGCTGTTTGTTTCTGACTTCTCACTGCTTAAACTGGAGTGATTTATGTAACCAACACTCAAGCTACACTATTTAAAATGTCAGTACTCATTGTAAGTGTATGGCAACTTGATTTGACTGGGAGGTTACTATGGTGGGATATCAATACCTATATAAAATCAGTCTGTTTAACTGGCATGCTTTACAACTTTGGTTGCCTGCAATGAGAGGTAATGGAAGAAACTGGCCAGTGCTTTTGTTGACCTCAGTGGGACTGTTATCTGGGTAAATTGTCATTGAGTTGCCACCTCAGTGTGGAAAAATACCACCATAGCTTTACAAATCTAGCTGTAGGTCATTTTCTCTTTAGCCAGTACAACATCCATCCAAGTGTCATCAGTAGGGTTCATTTAATTAGATATTGATTGTGCACCAATATTTGTGCACCCCCAAAATCAATAATATTGATTGCTTTTGTCTCATCTGCAAATACCATGACAGCTGTGCAGTTCAAATCAAAGCATTTCCTATTTCCTTTCCTTTCATATCTGCCATTTTAGGTTGTAACTCTATAAGCAAAGACCATTTATTCATTTTACTTTATGTAATCAGAATAATTTTAAAGAATTGGGGCACAGTGTGTTGCTCACTAGAGAACTGAATTTTGAGATGTTACTTCTAAACTACCTTTTCCATGATCCTCTGGTTGGTGTGGGGGATACTAGGACAATTTTCCAAGCCCTGCTGGGGGAGGGGAGGGAGGTCTTATGGCTTGATCTACAATTCATTTATCAAAGTACTGTGGTGACAGCACAGTCCACATCCCAAATGAAAGTGGCTTTTAGTCACTTTAGTCTAATTGGCGGACGTAAATTATCCTATATTTTATCTACATTTGCCAAACTGGCTGCATATCAAGCAGCTAATTTAGCACTCTGCTGTTTGGAGAGGAGAATAACTGAGGAAGATAGCTAACAGAGATGTAAATGTGAATAATGTAAAGAAAATCAATAAGCCAGTAGCCTAAAATTCAGTAACATCTGAAGAGCCTTTAGGTTTAAAGGGAAAGGGAAAGATTTTTTTAAAGAAGTGCTTGGTTAGTCGGATGTAATCTTGGTTCCCTATGAGTTCAGAGGACAGGATTCAGAGGGAACTTCCTTCCACTGTCATTGCTTTTTGGAGGTTGAAGTGCCACCAATGTGACAAGTGTTTTGCTGTACAGCAAACATAACCTCTCATGGTTATTTTGGCACAACTATGGAATATCTAATTTAGAAGCAGAATGCCAGTGATAGAGGAAGGTAATCTCCTGGTCTTAGAAGACCTTCCTATGGAAGGGAAAGGACTGTATTCTTACCCACCAGTGTGGTGTAGTGAATAGAGTGCTGGACTTGGATTCTGGAGAACAGGGCTCAAATCCCCACTCATCCATGGAGACTGACTGGGGGAGTGAGTGGAACTGGTAAAACCACACCTTAAGTATCTCACTTACCTTGAAAGCCTGCTTAGGATGTCTATAGGTCAGTTCTGACTTGAAGGCACAGAACACACAGAAGATCTAAAATTGTTTAGGATATACACAGAGGAACATCTCAAGACACTATACCAGTGGCTGGCGTAGTTTTTGTACAAGATATACCTTCAGAGTTTTTCATTCACTATGAGGTTGGCTTAGTAATGGGATAAAAAGAGAAGAACCTTGTGCCTGTATACAGTTTGTCTGATTATTATGCTTTAGAAGAAACAAAAACACGCTGACCTTGCATAGCATATTTTGACACTGTTTTGGGCATTCACCAGGATAAACAAAGTGTTCCGTTTAGCCTGGATATCCTGTGGAAATTATTCTTTTAATACATTTTTTTTTAAAATAAAAAGGCAGTGGATGCATAGTGCCTATTGGAATAAATTGCATGCTTTTTATAACACAGCATAAACAAAGAGAGTCTTTTGTAGTTAAAAAGTCAAGTTTTGATTGAAGTAATTTACTGTTTTTCACTTCTGGAAAGACCCATTCATTCTCTAGAGAATTGCAAATGTTTGTCACTTCCTGTGATGGCTGTTTTATAGTAGGTAAATGTTATACTGGCTGAAATCCAATAGTTAAGTCGCAACTAGAGTAGGCCCATAAAGTTCCATTGATTCAGTAGGGCTACTTTAGTTGTGACTAGAGATGGGCATGAACTGCTGGTTCAGCCAACGGCTGCACAATTGGTCTGTGGTTCAGCATCTCATCCCCTCTGGTGGGTGCCTACTCAGAGGCACTGCCTGGAGGAAGTCGGACAGGGAAGCCAGGGCTCTGCCCTGAGTGGGCGCCTGCCAGAAGGGGTGGGGCACCAAACCACAGATCAGCTGTGTGGCTGGTAAACGAACCAGTAGGAACCTCTGAACCAGCAGTTTGTGCCCATCTCTAGTTGTGATTATTAGATCTCAGCCACTGAGTGACAAAATCATGAATCTGTAAAGTTTTTGTATTTAAATGAATAGGTTGCATATATGGAACTAGTATAACTGACCTGCTAGAAGGGGTGGGCCACCAAACCACAGATCAGCTGTGTGGCTGGTAAACGAACCAGTAGGAACCTCTGAACCAGCAGTTTGTGCCCATCTCTAGTTGTGATTATTAGATCTCAGCCACTGAGTGACAAAATCATGAATCTGTAAAGTTTTTGTATTTAAATGAATAGGTTGCATATATGGAACTAGTATAACTGAAAGCAATCCATAGATCATGCATCCAACATTCTTTGAAGGCAAACCTGTCGTAGACCTGTGATCATGCACTTAAGCAGGTTGCTCGAATTCAGTTGATTCTGCTTAACCACTCTCATATGCTAACATTTTAATGGCCGGAATCCTCTTGGCATTTGGCAAGATTTGCATAATGTGTTGCAGCTAATTAACTAGATGCTCAGGCACATGGTGGTGTGCAATCAAGTGTGTAATACAACCAAGATGTACCTCAGCATCTAATCAATTAGCTGTAGTTAGCAACATCAAGTTTTGCAAATCTTATACAAACACCAATAAAATTGTGGCCGGTGTTTCCATCACAGTACAAACAAGGTAAGAAAAATCCAAAACATCGTCAAGCCCTATCTTTGGAGGCTATGCTAGCAGTCCAGACGTTGGGAAAACCTAGCCCCCAAAGGGCCTAATAGTTAGAAATGCTGGTATTGGTAGATAGTGTTCCTTCTAGTTGATACCAGCCCTGCCTTGCTGTCACTGTGAGTTACCTAATTTTCCCCATTAAGTATCCTCAGTGGTTTAGATATCTTGGTTGTGAACCAAAGGTTGGGAGTTCGATTCCCCACTGTGCCTCCCCGACAGGGGATGGGCTGAATGATCCATAGGGTCCTTTCCAGTTCTGAAGTTCTAAGATTAAAATTAATTCCCAGGGGAGATGAATATGAATATCACCATCACAGGTGGCTAGGCTCTTTCAATCCACCCCTCAGAAGCGGTTGGTCCGCTTACCGCTTTTGGTATATACAGCAGTCATCTTTCGATCCACCCCTCAGAACCGGTTGGTCCACTTACCGCTTTTGGTATATACAGCAGTCATCATTTGAGCCACACCAATCATGGAAGTAGCTTCCCCGTTTCCCTGCACTGCTGACCATTCCAGCAAGGAGGCGGGACGATGAGTCCCTTCACTCAGCTGCTGAGTGGTCAGCAGCATATGGAAGTGTGGAAGCCCCAGCTGGGCTACGTCCGCAATTGGCGTGAATGACCACAGCCGCATGCATCGTACCGCAAGTGATAAGTGGAACAGCCAGTTCGGGGTACGTGTGTCAAAAGATGGTGATATTCATATTCATCTACCCTGGGAGAAGAATATGAATATCCTATTTCTAATCAGCATAAGTGGCAGAAGATCAGCAGATAAATTGTTTTCTCATGGCAACATCTTAATATTGGAAGAGACATAGGTAGCTCATGAATGATGCGGGGGCATGGCACCCCACTCAGAAATTTTGGGATGAGCTTCTCATCACTGCTCAGTCTGTGAGCCTCCCCTCAGAAGAGGTATGTCTGTCTCTCTCTACTTCTTTTACTGCTGTTTAAAGAATCTGGGTGGTGGTGGTGGAAATGGGTGGAATCTAGCAGATTATTGAGGAGAAATTAATCAAAGCACACAGAAAGCTAAAATAAATGTATCAGTCCCATATACACCCTGGGCTGAATTCTTCACGATAGCAGGTTTTAGTGGTCTGTCACCCAGAATGCGTCGCATGGTGGAATTTGCTTGGGATCAGGCTCCTGGTCTCAAGGTGCCTGGCATTCAGGTTGTTTCCAAAATAGCCCCCAAAGGTAGCAAATTCCAGGTGTTACCATCTGAGTGTCTATTGAAATCCTGATGACTAGCAACCCCAGCTGTCAGTGTAAAGCATCTCTGCTTTAGAAACAAGCAATTTCATAAATTCCTTCTGCACACTGTTAACAGAGCTCCCACTTACCAAGTATAAAAACAAAATCCTCTTTTCAAAGGCAATAAAGGCAGACTCTTTTTTTTAATGCAAATCAGTCTCCCAGGAGTGAAGAAAGGAATTAATGACTTATTGGTTCTGATGTATCTTATTAGTCTGATGCAAATAGCGTTGAAGACCCAAGCACTTCTTATGCTAATCCGTCAGTTTCTCTCTGTTGCTCTTTAAAGGTCTTAATATTTGCACAAGTGGCAGTGCCACCTCCTGTGAAGAATGCTTGCTGGTTCATCCCAAATGCGCTTGGTGCTTTCAAGAGGTAAGCTTTCACTTGCTTTCTGGTCTGTCTTACTTGAAAAACGTATTGCATTTTTATACAGATACAATCCACATCACACTGTCCCCATTACAATGGCTTTCTTTATGTGGCCTTTCACCCCTATGATCACTATTTTTATATGTATGGCAGTGCAGCCTTATAGTTTCATCCTCAGAAGTGAGTTGATTTGTTCCCTGGTGTGTACAGGATTATTTGTTGTTTAGTCTTGCCAAGTCATTACCAGTTATGATGTTACAAGTTCTTTCAGCTACTTGAGTATCTCTTATTTGTTGGAGGATACCATATATCAAGGGGTTCTATCTAAGTGACCCAGCCCCATAGGTAATCTAAATTGTTCCAGCTTAATTACACTCCGACCCTCAGTATGTGTATGCTGTCTTTCAGATGAGTGTTATGGCCTTTGTTGTTTAGTCGTTCAGTCGTGTCCGGCTCTTCATGACCCCATAGACCAGAGCACGCCAGGCCCTCCTGTCTTCCACTGCCTCCCAGAGTTGGGTCAAATTCATGTTGGTAGCTTTGATGACACTGTCCAACCATCTCATCCTCTGTCATCCCCTTCTCCTCTTGCCTTCACACTTTCCCAACATCAGGGTCTTTTCCAGGGAGTCTTCTCTTCTCATGAGATGGCCAAAGTATTGTAGCCTCAGCTTCAGGATCTATCCTTCCAGTGAGCACTCAGGGTTGATTTCCTTCGAATGGATAAGTTTGTGCTCCTTGCAGTCCAGGGGACTCTCAAGAGTCTCCTCCAGCACCACAATTCAAAAGCATCAATTCTTCTAAAGGACTATAGCTTTAACTAGATTTCAGTGTTTTAGAAAGACCGATGGTTGCATTCTCCTCAGCCTGTATTAGCTTTTCCTTTTTGCTTCTACAGGACTATAGCTTTAACTAGATTTCAATGTTTTAGAAAGACCGATGGTTGCATTTTCCTCAGCCTGTATTAGCTTTTCCTTTTTGGGTTCTCCATTTCCAGCATACCCTAGTATGATGGAAATGGAAATATTAGTATTTCAGGATAGAAAAACTGGCCTGCATGCATGCAGTATTTTGGTGTGGGTTACAAGAGTTTTGAATTTCTGGTAAAAATTCTCTTGCTACATGGTAGAGGTGCAAAGACTCATAGAGGAGAATAGTTTCAGGTTCCCCAGAGTCCACCCCTTTCTTAACTGGCACTTAAAGTCTCAGTAACTCACTCTGATACACTGGTAGCAGAAAGAATTAAAAACATTTATTTATTTACAGTTGCTTGAAATTATAGACTTGTATATACTGCTTTATTTTCTGCACTCATACTTAGCAACCAACTGAACAGATCAACAGCAAACAAACAACTGTTTTCAGTTGAGGAAAGAGAGGGAAAGAAATGCTCAGCAGAGAGGTGTGACTGTCTTTGAATTCAAAGGCAGGAAGGAATGATTGGCTAGTGCTAGATAGATAGACAATCATCGCAGCCCAGAAAAATCCTTCCCAGTCACACAAACCACAGACAGCATTTGAGGTTGAAAATAAAATTCCCAATAGTATATCTCCAGAGGAGTGATGTATTTGTGGGAGTATCACAAAAAAACATTGGTCTTCATCAACTTCTCACCTAAGCGTGGCACATTGGTGGCATTTTGAGGAAGACACTGTTGGCTGATCTTGAAGACTATGGTGGCACATAGGAATACTTAAGAGATGTTCTTCTGGATACACTGGGCCAGGTTTCAGTCAAAGCACCTGAGTAGGACTGAGCTGATCATTTGAGATAATAGTGCTGGAATCTGTTCTCTGTAGGGATAGAACACAATGAGTGTTTTACCTTTATGCAGCCATTAACGAGAAGAAAGCATTTGTTTCATGTGTGAGCAGCTCCTTAGAGAAGTAAAGTATATGAGCCTAGAGGAAGGGTGCCCCCCTCATATTTTGCTGATAAAACATCTTGTGTACAGCTGTAAGAAGTGTATTTCTGCCAAAGATATCAGCAATGATGACATCAGGAATAAAAAATTACTATTTGCAAGGCTGTGGGTATCCAGTAGTGTTGGGCTGGGTCAGTTACATTTTCTTGGTGTAGAAGGACATTTTTGTATAGCTCTGCCAACACAAATGTTTACACGCGGGTTGTTGTGGCTGCTGCTTGTATTGCTGTTGCCTCAGCAATACTTGAGAGTAGTGTGTTATCAAATTCATTGTTTGGTTCTGAAAAATTTCAAGACTGACTGGAGGGCAAAGAAGTGAAAAGGGTTGTTTGTAGGAGATAATTCCTGAACCCTGCAGTAGTTCTTAATTTAACTGTCCTCTCTGAAGCATGCCAGAAGCAACAAACCTTTTACATTGAGATGAAAAGATTTTCATTTCCAGTCTAACTGCACAGAGGTAGTGTCCTTTATACTTCACAAACCCTGTGGAATAAATTTTAGTTGCTACAGCTATGAAAACTATGTATACTATAATCCAGAAAAATGAATGTAGCTTGTTGGATTCTGTAGAATAAATATTGGGAGTTTAACTGAAGAAAAGATGTATCTCAGGACCAATTTCATACGACAACTCTGGTCCCCCAGGATTTCTAAATGTGTATTTTAAATTGTAACTCACAGCATTCCATGTTCAGCTCAGCTTAATTTCTTATGTTCTGACAGGAAAGAAAATCTATCTGCCTAATGAAATTTCATCCTTTTTGGGGTGGGGGGGCTGTTATTCTTTCAGTATTCTGAATAGTATGTTTTGAGGTGATGGAACCATAGCACAAAATTCAGATCTATCTCCTGTAGTTCCTGTGGGAAATCTAACTATACATAGGTGAACAGAAGTCACTAAAGCTTTGGATGGAATAGCTAATCCTTTGGAAGATAGAAACAAGCTGAGTATGAGCCAACTGGCTACAAAAAAAGGGGAATGCTATTTTAGGCTGAATTAACATAAGTATAGTCTCCAAATCCTGTGAAGTACTAGTTCCTTTCTATTCAGCATTAGTTAGGCCTCATCTTGAGTACTGCTCTGGACACCACACTTTAAAAAGGATGCAGGCAAACTGTAACAAGTTCAGAGGAAGGACTGAAAGAACTGGGCATAGTTAGCCTTAAGGAAAGGAGACTGAGGGGAGATATGATAGCACTTTCAAATACTGTACTTGAAAGGCTGTCATGCAGAGAAGGGGAAGGATCTGTTATCAATCATCCCAGAGTGCAGGACAAGTAATAATGGGCTCAAGTTACAGCAAGCCAGATTTTGGTTGAATATCAGGAAAAATGTTCTAACTTTTTGATCAGTATGACAACGGAACCCATTTTCTCAGGAGGCAGTGAGTGCTCCAACAATGGAGGCATTCAAGAGAAAATTAAACAACAATTTGTCAGATTTACTTTGATTTGTATCCCTGCATGGAGCAGGGATTTGGACTCAGTGTCCTTATAGGCTCCTCCCAACTCCATTATTCTATAAGTCTTCTACAAAAAAACAATATTCCTAAAAATCATATCAAAGGGTGCCACAATTACTGCAGATACACTTAAAAACCTAGCTTTGGAATATCTCGATAATAAAAATGTGCCATCTGTACTGTGACTTTCGATCTGGTTTCCAGGAATAACATGTTTTGTTTTTGCAGAGGGAAAGAAAGTTTGGTCCTTCTTATTCAAGAGTATGTATTGGAGTAATCTTGATTTTTAATTTGCTGTAATGTGACCTAGATATGACCTAACCCCCAAGTGTCTGTACTTACTTGCCAAAACAGCCCAAATGATGATTCAAGTTTGTTCATAATGAAACAAGTACAGGTTTCTTGAAAAAAATGGTCAGAGCCATTTCCAAACAAAGTGAAGAAGACTTTTTGAAATCAGTTTGAAGATAATAGTTCACAAAGCATTCAGCCCATTACTTTGGTATGGTGATTTCATGTAGCTAAACAATTAAGACTGTATCTTGATGGAAGCATGCTTCATCTGAAATTGGGATAAAGTATTTGTGGAGGCATTTTCTTTCTCAGGTGAATGTTTCTTTCCAGAAAGAAACCACACACAGAGATGTGGAGTATGGAAGTAACATTCCTTTGGTATGTGTATGCCTTGAGGCTGAAGCATGAAAAAGACAAGATATTGCAGGCAAAGTGGTTAAACTTAAAAAGGAACTAGTGAGAGTGAAATGTTGTTACAGGATAATGGATTAAAAATATATATGCAGAGAGAAATTGGCATGGTAATTAGAAAATGCTGGAGTATGGATTACTGCAATGTCTGTAACTCAATGATGTTTTCCTTTTTTTCTCCTTGATCACACTGAAAATGAATATCAACACTATACATTTTATTATATTTATATGAGGCATTAAACATTCAATTCTCCCTGTAGATGAATTTTGCTGTGCTTTACCCCAGAGTTTAAGGAACGTGGTGGTGCTGTGGGCTAAACCGCAGAAGCCTGTGCTGCAGGGTCAGAAGACCAGCAGTCGTAAGATCGAATCCACGCGACGGAGTGAGCACCCGTTGCTTGTCCCAGCTCCCGCCAACCTAGCGGTTCGAAAGCATGCAAATGCGAGTAGATTAATAGGGACCACCTCGGTGGGAAGGTAACAGCGTTCCGTGTCTAAATCACACTGGCCATGTGACCACAGAAGATTGTCTTTGGACAAAACACTGGCTCTATGGCTTGGAAACGGGGATGAGCACCGCCCCCTAGAGTCGAACACAACTGGACAAAAATTGTCAAGGGGAACCTTTACCTTTACCTTACCCCAGAGTTTGTCTCAGTTGTTTATAATTACTGCAGTGGATATTCGTTTAGAATTTCTGGAAAGCCAGAGGCTGCTTATGGAGTTTAGCCATTATCTAGACATTAGCAGTAATGTGTTGTACATGTTTTGTTGGCTGCTAAGAAAGCACATAAGTTCCTTTTGCTGTTGAGCTTTTAGGATCTGCCAATTATAGGTGAGAGTATTTCCATATAAGAAGCTGGGCACCCTAGAAATGATATTGAGTATCAGGAAGCTAGGTCAGTAGTAGCTAACCTTTAGGGAAGGTGTATTCGAAGTGGAATCAAAAGCTTATGACAGTGATACTTTATACAGTTCCTTGTACCTTTTAATCTTGAAGAACAGACGGGAAAGAGTGCAGTGTAGGAGGAAAACAGCACCGACTTGAAGAACAGGTGGGAAAGAGTGCAGTGTAGGAGGAAAACAGTTTCACAAATCATAAACATGTCCTTATACTGTACATGATTATGCCTTTTCAAAAAACAGCATTGTTTTGGGAGTCTTGTAGGTACTCTGCTTCTCTGATACGGACTATGTTACAAGGTATTATTATTGACTCATCCAATCTTTTATGTTGACAGGATTCTTTTGTGTAGAGGAGCTGTTGGTTTTGTAAGACTGGAAGTGGTACAGTTAAGAGGCAGGTTGGTCCTCCTCAGTGAAAATTATTCCATAGTTTTCAAAACAGATGAAGATAGTTGAGTGGTGTGATTGTTGCTCTCACTGCTTTTGTAATGCAGTTGTTGCTGGTCATATACATGCTGTGTCTTTTTAAAGCACAACAACAAAAGCAGCAAAACCCTGCAATTTTGAAGCACAACTAAAACCAGGTATTTGGCAAGAAACAGTGGTGGTATTCATTGAATTACTGTAGGGGCCAGGCCCACACAACCTGTGAACTGTGTCTGGAGATTATAGTGAGATGCCACTGTCTCTGTATACCACTGTGACCAGCCTACCTGTCTAATCACTTTTCCAGCCCTCTAGCCCCTTTGCTGGGCTATCCTTAAGCCCAAAACGTAAGAACCAAACTGATTCCATTGTAAAAGAAACAATAATGTATGTTTTTGTGTGAACTGTAATGGTCCGTTGAATCTACCTGGTGAGTTGCGATTGGCTCAACCCTGACCAATCAGCTTCTTGCTGACATTGAGTGGGGCTGCCCACCACAACCACCTTCAGTTCTGAGGGCTTCTCTGCTCTGTGAATAAAGCCCACTGTGTGTGAACAAAAATAGAAGGGGAATGCTTTCAGGAACCCATACTTGCAGACTGTAGTGGTTCTGCTTGCAGTTTTTCACCCCAGTCACAGGGGTGAGAACTAGGCCTGTCCCCTTCATCTGTTGCAAGATGTCAGTGGTTTGGTCATGACTTATTATTTGACATCCTCTTGGCATTTCCCCCATCTTCTCCTTTAAAAAAAATGTCTACCAGGAATTGAGTCTTTCAGTTCATGGGTTGTGATTGTGCTTGCTTGCAAATAATGCATCTGTTATTTTGTGAATCATTATCTCATGATTTATGTGAAGAAACAGTTGTATTTAAATGAAAAATTCTCTCTATGTTAATTGTAGGATGTAGATGACAGTGGGGAGGAAATAAAAAGGATGCAATATTTGTTTGTTTGTTTGTTTGTTTGTTTTATACAGCACCCCATATTTATTTATTAAATTTGTACACCACCCCATTAGTGTAAAAGCACTATTCTGGGTGTTTTACAATCAACTAAAACAATAAATATGAATAAAAATAACAAAATAGCAGTCAAAACATCCAGTGGTGGAAATACAAAATGAAAAATGGCACGGGCATGTAACCATATAGAGCAGCCGAGGTACAACAGAGTGTGGTCCTATTCTCATTATTTTGAATCATATGCTTTACTTCTAACTTGATAATTTACTGTTCCTTAAATTGGTATGGCTTTCAGCACCAAGTGCATGTGTGTGTCTTTCCATCCGTGTCTATGCACAAAAACATTGTTGACATTCTTTAGTTTTTTAAAAAACAGAACACAAGAATTAGACTATTTGGAATGGACAAGATTTGCATTCCACTTCCCAAATGTCCAGAGATCTCTTATTTCATTCTGACAGGAACTTGGATTCCTATAAAAGGCTCCAAATAGTATTCTGTTTAAATAAAACAAAGGGATCTTTTCAAGCAATCTATTTAAAATGTTCAGACCTACCTTTTGTCTTAAATGAAAACAAAATAGAAAACTGGATTACTGCTGGTGTCCTGAGGTGATGAAATGTATGAAATGTGAGCTAGAATCGCAACTTACTGGTTAGGCTCAGGTAACCCAATCGATTTCAGGCCTTTGTCTTGCAATGGGCAAAACCATCTTCTGTAAATTTACGTAAGCTGGAGGAAGCTAATGATGTCATCATTCAACACTTGTAACATTAATGTAAATTAATTGAAAGCTTCCTGTTCTCTCCCCTTTCAGGTTCTGAGGCGCTCCCAGTCTTTTGCCCTGGGGAAGCCTTTGGGAGCCTCAGGATGAATGTGTGTGTCGAGGGGGGGGAGCAGCCCTTAATTGTCAAAAATTACTGCCAGATTCCCAGGATAATAAATGCTTAATTATCAAGTGTACGATAAAAAATCATTATTGTTGTTATACACTTTGTTGTCTTGGGTAACAGTTCAGTATTCTTCTTATCTCAGAAAACTGGGGAAAGCAAGGAGTTTGATAGAAATTTCCTTGGTTGGTGATCCATTTGCCTGCATTTGCAGTGAACATCCAGTGGAGTAGTGAGCACAATACAACCCTCTACTTCAGTGGTACTTAATCTGGGCGATATCACCCCCCCGGGGGTGATTTTGTTTTTCGGGGGGGGGTGAGGGAACCAAAAGGGGCGACGCGGGGGACAAAGGAACAGAAGGTGGCAATAGGGCGCGATGGAGCGCTGCCACCACCACGTGGCCCGTGTGTCCATCTTGGACCCAGATGAGGAGGGGATGGAGGGAAAGGCGTGGTGTGGTGCTGAGCCTCCAGGGCGGCAAGGGCGTATGGAGGGATGGAGGGAAAGGCCGGTGTTGTGGTGCTGAGCCTCCAGGGCAGCAAGGGCGCCTTCTCGCTGTGACCCTTGGTCGGCGACAGTGGCGTCTCCTTCCTGTGCATCAAGGGGGCCTCTGGACTGGGAGCGCCACGCAGCCTACAAGCTCTGATTGGTGGCCGTTGACTCAGGCGAGCCATCCATTTCCTCACAGTGCACTTGTGTATTGGATGGTGGGCGGGAATCCGAAAAGATACTTTTTGGGGGAGCGGGCTCCCATCCCCAGCCTCTGGCAGATCGCATAGCGATCTCCCCATGAAGAGACCAAGGGGAACCCAGCCCCGCCATCCCGCCCCACTGCATCTTCTGAACATTCAGCCCCACAAAGGGCTGACTTCGACAAGGCCTCCTTCTTTGGGGAGAGTCGGGACCTGTCGCCCCCCATGCCCACACCGAGGGCATGGCCTTGTTCTTCTCATGGGTGCGTCAGTGTGCGGTGATCTGGGGCTGTGGGGGGGGATGGAGAAGCGTCCCTCATGGCGAGACACCCACCTCCCTCCCTGAGACACCGACCCCCGGGATCCAAACACCCAAGGGGGGTGAGGGTGGGAGTTGGCCGGCCAAGCGGCCTCCCTCCTTCTGTTCTCGGCCCATGCCTGGTCTTTGCTTAGTCACAGCAGTCTCCCCATCCTGAGGTGGGGCTGAAGTCCCCAGGCAGGTGGGCAAGGCAGCCAGCCACGGTTCGCCTTCCCTTCCCTCAGCCTGGCCTTGTGTGTCTCTCCCCCACTTTTTTCTTCCCTCCCTGTGGCGCTGCTCCAGGAAAGCCAAGCCCTGAGAAGGAGAGCCACCGTCCTTCCCACTACCACCTCTTTCTCCACTGCCATGACATAAGCGCCGGCCATTTTCCTCCTCAGGCGCCAGCGGCTCCAGGGGCGCCCCAAAAGCCAAGCAGAAGCCACTGCTTAGTCTTTGAGTGTGCGGCGACAGGGGGAGGCGAAGGCAGAAAGAAGTGAGACCTGGGCCATTGAGGAAGTTATCATTGCCCCCTCCTTGCGGTGGCGGTGTGGTGGTGGTGGCCACTGCCGCCACAGGGAGGGGGGCAATGATAACTTCCTCAATGGCTCAAGGGGGTGTTTCTTTCAAAAAGGTTAAGAAACACTGCTCTAGTTATTGCTGAACTGTACCTTCCACCATAGCCAATGCAAAGAATGCTGGGAGTTGCAGTCCCACAACATCTGTGGGGTCACACTTGGCCCACCTCTGTGGCAATAGGTTAGGAGGCCTTTGGTTCATCAACTTTTATTAGCAGCAGTCCTCGAAAGCTTTTCCCAACCTTACTACCTGAGATGGTATTTAAGTGAGGATGTATCTGCTTCATTCTACCTAGTGTTTTGTTTCTCCTGTCTTTTGGAGAGAAAATATGAGTAAATCATATTGGGGAAAATGACACTATATTGGTTAATACAACTATAAAATAACTACTGATATGAAGTTATAAGTTTGTCATTTGTTGTATCTCTTGGTAATGACTAAAATGCTTTAAAATTCAGCTTTTGCCGCTTAATGCAACATCCTGGTTGCCTCATAGTCTGTATAAAGAGTAATAGCTTACTATTCATTCTGCTCACCTGAGCTTTCATTATTTCCAAAGCTTCAGTTCTCCTATTCTCCCCTCTGAAGCCTCAACCAGACTGTACTCATGGGAAAAAAACAGGGGGTGGGAAGTTGAAACGTTTGCAGTTATAAGTTTATAGTGAAATGGGCAGGAGATTACAAGAGAAGAAGAATGGCTTCTCAGCTAATTCTGTGTTGAATCTTCATAATTGTCAGGCAAACTAATTTTCTTCATTCTTCCATACAGGAATTTATCAACACAAAATCAGTCATTTCAAGGTGTGACTTCATTGAAAATCTTATTGCCGGTGGTTGTGCGGGGAACTATGAGACTACAGAAACTAGCACCAACATAGTGAAGAGCCTTCCCTTGAGCAGTAAGGGCTCTAGTGGAGCTAATTCAGATGTGATCCAGATAATGCCTCAAAAGATCTTATTGAATCTGCGGCCTGGTGAGCTATTGCTGAATTGTTTGTTATTTGACATAGGTTGTTTGGCATAGATAATTTGCAAGGATACTGTATGGATTGATTTACCTGCAGTGTCAATTTATCATGGATTGGCATTATAGGGACGTTCCTATGCTTATGTACTGTTGCCCACCCACCCCCATGTAGTTAATTCCTGGTCTGCTGCAAGCCATAGGTTACTTCTGGATACTGCAGTGCAGAATTATAACTCAGGATCATAGTGCTGGTTTGCAGAGAAAGCCACAGTAACAGTAAGGCTAGTAGATTTGCAAAAATGGGGATGCCTTTATAATCCCTTCCTTTCCAGTAAGTTGCAATGATTACACCAGTTTCTCAACCATAAGGGAGCAAACCAGTAGTATTCCTATGAGTAAAGAAGAAATAAGACTAAGCCAGTAACCACCAATCCAAGTTTCTTATGAATCTTAGCAAGGACATAATTTCGCAGAGGATGCTTTTGTCTCTGATTTGGTTTCTTCAGTCCTTATTTCCCGGAGAACCAGCAGTACATCATGCTGGGTTAAAGCCAAGACATGATGCTGAACTATGAAGAAAGGGCTACTATAAAGTTTTCTTAAACAATGGTCTCATTTTTTCTTGGGCATGTGGGAGTGAAAATCTGAACTCTGCATTCCACCTGCCACTCATCTCCAGAAATGCTGGAGGTTTTCCAGCTTTATGCCTTATTGTGCACAATAATCCCATGTCCCTTTAGTGTAAACATCAACATTGGCTGTGGTTACACTTGCACGGTTAAATCTGATCTTGTGACCCAGAAGCTAAAGTTCCCCATATTATTAGTTTTGCATGAAGATGTAAAACAGGATAGAAAATGCCAGGGATTTTTGTCATGGAAATTGTTTGCAGAAAAGAGGCGTTTGTACAGTTTCAACACTTGTACAAAAATATTTGGCCTTTGATATTTAGTTTTGTTGACGAGGCCCTTTATAAATGAAAGGAAAGTCCAGTACAGAAGACTGATTCATTTCAAATTCCCTGCCCCCAAGAACTTGCCCATCCCATTTCAAATGACTGCATTGCTTTCCAATCTAGGCATACTGGAGACAGTGATTTCCTACCTTTTGTTCCTTTATTCCTATGAATTTTACAAGGTAATGATTCAGATTTATGTTTTAATAATGAAGCTGTTGTATTTCTCCGGTGAGAGCCTCCAATTTTTAAAGAATCCAGTCTTCATAATTCCCTCAGTCCTCTCTGAAAAATGGATGCATACGAACCTACCTTTATTCTGAGTTATATGACAAAGGCATAATGTGTGGGCCTCCAGATGCTGTTGGATGCATTGTCCTACTCCTGTGGCTATGCTGCCCAGGGAGTTGTACTCTAGAATTACATGTTCTTCATCTTTGGGCTGTATGCCTCAATACTGTCTACTCTGATTTGCAGTAGCAGTCCACGTTTCAGCAGAGATTTTTCAAAACCCCAGAACATGAACACTTTTAAAAATTCAGAAGTCACTTTTTGAGGCCTTGTGCATGCAAACTCCTCTCCTACCACTGAACTTGATATGCATACACTTTAAGTGCACTGGCTTCTCTTCACTGAAACTCAATCAGTAAGATTATGATGCTAAAGAGAATGACAGAACAGACATGTAAAATTAACATGGAAGGTCCTGGTTTTATTTTGGACATCAGGTAGGCTGATTTGAATAGATATATGCAAATAACAATGGACGTCCTTAGGAGTCTGTACTATATGCAAGGCTGATGCTACAGTTTGAAAGATGATTTTAAAGCTGTTTCTTCAAAGTTTCCCCCTTGATTCAGGGCAAACATGCATGGTCTAAATCACCGTCCACATGATGCATTCTGATTGTCCTGGAGATTGCGTTTCCAGAGAGAAAATAATTGCTGAATAGGAACAAGCCGCCCTTGTTTGCTAGCAGTTGCACAGTGAAGAAAGCTTTTCTTCAGTTGAGCCATCTGTCACATCAATTACTTCTACACACTGAATCTTTAGGCTGCAGGTGAAATTCCTCGTGCGTAGAAAAAAAATCTCAATCAGTACATAAAATAATGAGATCAGAGGGATTTAAAAAGCAGTGTGAAAGTTGAGCAAGTGTGGTACATGACACATCGTATAAGTGAGTAAATGTGATGCATGATTTTAACTGAGTTGGTTTGTAACAACCTTTACTCAAAGGAAGTCAGTACTATCCATATACAAACTTTGCCCTAGGGTGTAGGCCAGCCTAGTTTTCCTTCCCTTTCTGTTTCCTTAGTTTCTCCATCTCCTGTAACACTTCCAGCTATTTTGCTTATCTGTTCCTCTTTTTAGCTTGTCTTTGCCCCTTCTCTCCCCGCCACCCAGACCTCACCTCTGGCATTTTTCTCAGTCTTCTTCCCCTTAACAGTCCTTAACTTCCTACTTTCTCCTCCTCTTCTAGACTCCTCAGTTGCTCAGTTATTGCCAGTCAATGCTAGTGACATTATTGTTGGAGAAAGGGTTTGCTGGCTCCTGGTGTCGTAGAGGCAATTGGACCCTTTTAGTCTGCCCTTTGACATTGTTTAAGAAAGCCAGAAATGGAAGCATGTGCATTATGGTCTATGGCTGATGCTTTGTGACTAGAGATGGGGGGTATTCGTATTCATATACGAATACCCCCACACAGATGGACATAACAAGGGTCTGGCTCCATAGGGCCGGATGGTCCAGTCACTGATGCGCTAATGCCGTGGGGTCCACACTGCCATCCTATCACTCCGGAGATTGTGTTGCCGAGCCACTCTTCGACCTGGCAGAGAGACTTGTTGTCACGCCTCCTGCCAGGAGTGGCTGGGCAGACCTTCATATACGAATACCCCCACACAGATGGACATAACAAGGGTCTGGCTCCATAGGGCCGGATGGTCCAGTCACTGATGCGCTAATGCCGTGGGGTCCACACTGCCATCCTATCACTCCGGAGATTGTGTTGCCGAGCCACTCTTCGACCTGGCAGAGAGACTTGTTGTCACGCCTCCTGCCAGGAGTGGCTGGGCAGACCCTCATTATCTGTGCCTCCTGCCAGGAGTGGCTGGGCAGACCCTCATTATCTCCACCTGTGTGGGGGTATACGAATACAAATACCCCCTGGGCTGTATGTAACACCCCCATCTCATAAATACGATTAATTGTATTTATTTTGTGTTCTTCTGCATACGATCAATGACCTTGTAATTAATTGTATTTATTTTGTGTTCTTCTGCTACCACCACCACCCTGTGATCCTGTGTGAGCATTGATAGGAAATGCATATGCATAAGACAGAAAATACACATTTTGCTGTTGCTGTCGAAAACTAGAAGCAGTAGAGTTGGGGTCAGGGATGGAGACCCTGGTGCTTTCCACCTGTTTTGGACTGCAACTCTTATAGTCCTTGACCACTGGCTATTTTGACTGGGCTAGATGGGAATTGTAGTACAAAGTTTTTGGAGAGTGCCAGATTACCTCCGTCTAATAGATAGATCTGAGAAATTTTAAAACTGCTGTCTAATTATTTGCTGAACAAAAGAGGGAGCATAGCTGTTATATCAGAGCCATGAGGGATGATTAGAGGGTCTTCAGGAGAACTCAGACTCTCATATCTTAGAAGGAAGTTCAGAACAATTCTGTGTGGGGCAGAGGAACTAATCTTTTTCTCCTACATTGTGGTTAGATAGAGGATTAGAGATACTGTATAAATACAGTACTTCAAACCAGAGTCTTCTGGGTGCATACAGTACGTGTGTGGTTCAGCTGTTAGCTGAACTGAATTGTTTTTCTTGTTGTAGCATTTTTCAAGGGCTTTTCTTATAAAAACTACAACAGGCTGCAATTGAGTACTGTATTATTAAATGGTTCCTGGTTAGAATTCGGCTTTGTTGTGCAGTTGATATTTCAGTTGAATAGCCATGGAACTGAGCCACTTCTCATTAGCTTGGAAGTTAGGAAGTGAAACTTTCACTTAGCTCTAAGACCTTTGGATCTGAAAAAATGATTTGAGGTGTTCCTTCATCCTATGGTTCAAGTATGGCCTTCTGGCATTGGCCAGCTAAGTATTGCCTCCTGGGTTAGTTTGTTTTAAAATATCTATCCTGCATTTTGAAGCAGTGCTCAAATATTTCTTTTTAAAAGTTTTTTTTTAAAAAATAAGAGATTGAATTTACTCTCCATCCCCATTTGAGCACTGAACCTACATCTACAATTGTGGCTCAAAACATAGTGGCTCATGTAAGCTAAAACATGTGCTGATATGCCCCCCCCCCATTAAAGCAGGTAACAAACCTTGTGGGAATCCCAGATATATTTGAAAGTTGGCATATTGCAGCTGAGCAGCCCTGTAACAATCGTTAGTTTGACTGTCTTTTCTTAAAGTGGTCTTCATCCCTCACAGTTCCACTTGGACTCCTCCATCAGGTTGATGGGGGCCAACTGGGCTTCTCCCCTCCTAGAAATGTCTCCAACTGTGGCCATTCTGCTGGAAGAAAAGCGATAACTCGTCCTTCTCCTTCGAGGATTCTTCTCCTAGAATTCTCTCATGCATTGGCCCATGGCACATTCACTTCTTTTTCTGTTTCCACTCTGTCCTTTTCCTCCCTTTTGTGATTTGTCTGTCTAATTGTATGCCCTTGTTCTGAGAGTGGGCTGCTTCCCACGTATTGGCAGAAACATTGGTTTTTAAGTGTAGCAAACAAATGACACCGCTCCCAGCTAGGATGTGAAAGCCTGTGCAACCCTATTTCACACAGAGAGGGATGAGACCCCAGCCATGAGCTGTTTCAGATTTTCCAAACTGTCCCAGGCTCTCTGGCAGTGGTTGAAGGGCTGTTGAGCTATGCATTTGTCCTGGCTGACAGCTGTGCCTGAACACTGTAGGGGCCTTGGCTGCCAGCATGGGCTGGGCACTGGATGAAGAACAACCGTATCAATGTAACTCAGCAGGATTGTAAATATTGCCAACTGAGGTTCTTGGAGAACTGCTTGTTCTTTTCTTCATCCTTCCCCTAAATGCAAAGCTAGCAGCTATTTTAGCCTTAATTGAAGAAATAACTTGCAAAAAGGAAAATCTGCCACCTGGATTTTGGCATATTGTATCGACTACATGTTGCATTAGGAGACCTTGTGCAGAAGAATTCATAGTCAAGCCCTGCATCTGTCATGCAATTTCTGGTACAGTGGACCCTCGACTTACAGACGGCTCGACTTACAGACTTTTTGAGTTCCAGACTTCTCTGGCTGCAAAATTTAGATTCGAAAGCCCTGCATCTGTCATGCAATTTCTGGCAATGGCTAGGAGGGTGGTTCTGTGTTGAAGGCTCTTAAATCCACCCTCAAAGAAGGAGAGTAATTTGCTTACTTTTGCTTATTAACCGTTAGTAAATTGCTGCTTCCACAGGTGACCCAGCCTTTTTCCAAGTGCAAGTTCGACAGGTAGAGGATTATCCTGTGGATCTCTACTATTTGATGGATCTTTCCCTCTCCATGAAGGATGATCTGGATACTATTCGCAACTTGGGAACCAAACTGGCTGAAGAGATGGGAAAGCTCACCAGCAATTTCCGCCTTGGATTTGGCTCTTTTGTGGATAAGAACATTTCCCCCTTTTCCTACACAGCACCCAGATATCAGAACAATCCCTGTACTGGGTAAGCAAGACGACTCCCATTGTTGTTTCTCCTAGCAGATACTAGAACATAAAATTCTTTCTGTGTCAAGCACAATAAGCTTGTAGGTTGTGGCCGTATCCCATGGCAAACAGGGAGAGCTTCCAAGCTTTTTCTAAGTATGCAGAGTCATGTAAACATAGACATCACAAAGATATCCCTGATAATGCCCTATTGTAGAGGGTTTGCAGTTTGGTTTGGAGGTTGTCCTCCTTGTTGACCAGAGCAGGCAACAGCTAGCTTTTGTTCATGGCTATTAGTCACCTCGTAGGGGTATTATTTGTCCTTGCTGTTGAATTGTCTACCTCAGTTATGATTAATGTTGGATTTTGTTCAGGATATATGCTTATACAATCGCAAACTCATGAGCATGCCTGTGTGCATATTTGGTTCTCTGCTGCATTCAGATTTAAATTTATATATAGTTTTATGGACATTTGCTTATTTTGTACGAGGGTGGATTTGATTTGTCACAGTTTGAATCATGATTTAAATTTTAAAAATCAGGGTTTTTAATGATTTCAATTTTTAAAAAAATCAATGTTTTCATTTTAAAAAATCATTGATTTTTTAACCACCCTGTCTTGTACAAATATTATAAGGATGCTAGCAGTGTTCTGCATCCAAAATTGAATTAGTGCAGCAATTTATATTTCCTGCCAAGCAACATCCTGGGTAAATGATAGCAGGATTGCTTGGTGGAGAGGAATGTGAGCAGAAATGATAAATGAAGGAACACCAGCCATGCAGGTGTCATCTGTGAATGGAGGAGCAGTTTGCTAAAGAAGTTCATGTATGCTTTCCATCTAACTTCATGAATCATGAGCCATGTCAATTCTTTTTGTTAAAATAATTTTTAAAATATTATTTAACAAAAACATGTGCAAACACCACATGTTTATAATACACTACAGTAAATCAATTGAAAGTTAAACAAAATTAAACAAAAGCACACTTCTCAACCCTGTGCCACCCTCACCCCCATCCTTGAGATTGGTTTCATATTCTTTATCCTTGTACTGTATTTTATACCGTCCGATTTCTCTGAAGAAATTTATTGATTCCTCTCTGGTGTATACCCCTTCCATTTCTGAAACACATATACCAAAAATAAATTTCATTTTTTAAAAAATCGTTACTTTTCAATATTCTTGGGATTTTAATTTCACAAGTTGGTATACCATTAATTGGCACACTCCACATTTCCCTATACCATTCATCCACGGTAATTTGGTTATTACTTTTCCAATTCTTTGCAAATATTAACGTTGCTACTGTCACCTTTATGATATTTAATTCCTTTTTTCTCTCTTCAATTGATTATTATTAACCATATTCAACAAGGCAGTCATTGGAGACATTTGTACATCCGTACTAGTTATTTCCCTAATCTCTTTAAGAAATAATTACCCATTCCTTCTTTGTTGTTTCACAAGACCACCACATATTTTTATACCTCCAGTACAAAGATGGTACATTTTTGTTTCATTTATCCAACTTCACCGGTGTTAAGTACTTTCTCTACACTACGTTATAACACTTTTTCTTAACCCATACAGATTCATTATTCTTTTATTCCACATTTTATTCCAATCTTCTGCTTTACTTTAAGTAAATCTGCTTGCTCCAAGTCTTTTAATGCCATTGTTTTATATTCCACCTGTATTAACATTTTATATAATATATTTCTATTTTTCATTGTTTCTAGTTTCTTTTTTTCAATAATCTCAAATTTTGTTATTGTTCTACCCTCTCCTTTCTTTATTTTCCATTCCTTTGTCCAATTTTCTAGATGGAGTATATTTAACCATGAAATCCTCTCTTTTTCCAACACCTCTGATATTCATCCCTTATCTTGCATCTCTTTCATCCAATCTTTTATCCTCATAACTTCCTCAACAATCTGTACCCTTTTAAATTTTCTTTAGCAGTGTCAGTTCTTTTTAAGAAAGAACTGTTGCATGTCAACAGTAGTAAACAACACCATATTAATTAAAATGATAGCAGCCCCCCAAATCTGGGGTACCTTATTCTTGTAATTATGTGCTGTCAAATCGCATCTGATGTATGACAACCCTATGAATGAATGTCCTGTCCTCAACAGTCCTGCTCAGCTCTTGCAAACAGAACCCTGTAGCTTTCTTTAGGGAGTCAATCAACCTTGCACTTGGTCTTCCTCTCTCTTTTTGCTGCCTTCATCCTTTTCCAGCATTATTGTGTTTTCCAGAGAATCTTGTCTTCTCATGATGTGCCTAAAGTTGGACAACCCCCATTTCAAAAATTTTGCCTCCAGGGAGAATTCAGGCTTGATTTTGCTCTAGGACCCATTTGTTTGTATGTTTTTCTGGCAGTCCAGAGTACAGTGGACCCTCTACTTACGGAATTAATCTGTATTTGAACAGTGGCTTCAGGTCGAAAAGTCTGTAGGTCGAGTCTCCATTCACCTACAATGCATTGAAAACCGATTAATCCGTAACCGGCTGTTTTTGTCCCATTTTTGTTCCATTTTGCTTTTTTTCTGGTCTGTAGGTCGATTCTCTGGGTGCAAGTCGAATCTAAATTTTGCAGCCAGAGAAGTCTGTAACTCGAAAAGTCTGTAAGTGGAGCCGTCTGTAAGTCGAGGGTCCACTGTATCCACAAAGCTCTTCTCCAACAACACATCTCAAATGAATCTATTTTTTCCTGTTAGCATTCTTACACCCTTACATGGTGATCAAAAATACAAGAGTGTGGAGAATCTTGACCTTGGCCTCCTTAACACTTGATCTTTTCTAGTTCGTTCATTGCTGACCTTCCGAGTCTCAGGCTTTTTCTGATTTCTTACAGAAGAAAAATTGCTTCCTAATTCACTGCATGTGAACTCTCAAGTGTATCCTAAGGTATTTCACAGGGCCTACTTTTCAAGCAGGTGTGCATAAGACTGCAGCCTTAGCAGCAGCTCATCCATCATTTACTTTTAAGGTATTCCCTTATTTGGAACTCTGTCTTAGGACAAAGAAGTTTCTGTGTAGTGTCAGATAATTTTGGGTGTGAAGAAAGTTGCCAAGCTGCTGAAATGAAACAGGCAATGAATGAAAACATGGCTCTAGGGACGAGCCTTTTCACTCTGAGGTCTGCCTCGTGTCACTCAGTCAAAGCCTATTGTACACAGCACTGTGCTCACCTGCTTTGGACTCTCTGATGCATGAGGTTACAAGGATACTAGATACTTCTTTCTTTCTTTCTTTCTTGTTTCAGTATCCTTGGTGTATGCGTGTTCATTCTGTGCATGCTTTAAACTGTTTGCCATTCCTTGTCTTTAGGGTAGGTAATACAGATCACGATTGTAAATACGTGGCAGAAAACTGAAGAAGAAAACCAGAGAACTATAGAGAGAACTGTTAAATTAACCACTGCTGAGGCAAAATGCATGTTAGTCACAGGAATTCATTTTGCACCATTAAGTATGTAATCCCTGGTTCAGTAGCAAGAACATTTTGGTCCTTTGAATGGTTTGGTTTATAGCGCTCATGAACCCCACCCAGCATTACTAATCGGTTTGAAGGAACTGGAAGCCAAATCATCTGGAAGGCCAGAGGTACCTCCCCCACGATGTTGGTTGTTTCATGAACAGAACAGGAACAAGAAAAGCAACCCAAATATTAGGTGATAGCATCAGAAAAAGTATGAAGGGACCTCATGTGGCTTTAACAAATTTATGGGGAAGACAAAATCCATAATGCAAAACAAATATAGTAGTAGTAGCAGCAGCAACAACAATAACAATAATTCAACATGGACATGGCAAAAACTGGGGACCTTTAAGAAAGAAACTGAAGGCTTGATTTTTGCTTCAGAAAACAAGCGCTCCAAATCAATGTGATGAAAGCTAAGATCCAAGGAATCACTGCTAACAGCATATGTCGCCTCTGCCAAGAAAAAGATGAGACTGTGTCACACCTCATCTGTGAATGTCCAGAGATTGCACAACGAGATTACAAAGTTAGACATGATCGAGTGGCAAAATTAGTGCACTGGTCATTGTGCAAAAAATATAACTTGTCGGTCTCCAAAAACCCGTGGGAATATCAGGTAGAGAAGGTGTCAGAAAATGAAGAAGTCCAGACCTTGTGGGATTTCTGGATCTAAATGGATAGACACTTTGAACATAAACACACCAGAGATAGTAGTAATAGAATGAAGAAATGTCTGGATCATTGACATTTCAATTCCAGGGGATGCCAGAGTTGAAAATAAAGAATTGGAAAAACTAACAAAATACAGAGACCTGGCAATCAACACATCTTTCCTTTGGAAGAAACACGCTGCAGTGGTCCCTATAGTCATTGGGGTTTTGGGAACAATATCAAGAAATTTCACACAGTACTATAAGCAGTTGCAGATTTCAGAAATTAGACAATTGGAGCTACGATAAATGGCAGTACTGTATTAGGAAAAGCATACATACTGCACTGATAATTAACAGATACTTAGGTTTTTGGTCAAAACTTGTACCTGGTATATAATACTAGTCAATTTTGACTGTGCTTAGTGTTTTTTAGATGATGATGATGATGATGTAGTCAGTCTTATGGAATGGAAGTCATCATAAGCTATCTCCCAAAGCCAGCATCAGAAGCTTATTAATACACAAAGGACTAAATTCACATAAGATTAGCCCAGCTAATATTTTTCCACCATAACAGTTTAAGTGCATGCTTTGTTACAAACTTCAGAATTAGACAAGAATGCAAAAAGATAAGAGGCAGGACCTCCCTTCTAAACAGATTTCTTAACCTTATAGAAAAATCAGTTTCATTTGAGCTGCTCCAAATGTCATGTTGGTTTTTTGTAAACCATAAAGTTGTCTTGGTATGCACATTGCATTCCTTTCTTTTTGTTGTTAGAAATGTTACTATAAATTGCCTATCAATTATATTCTCAGTAAGTTTATGGAAAAAAATAAAAAATAACAAGTAAATATAAAAGCCACGTAATCAAAAAGCAGAATGAACCTAAAAAGTAAAGCTAAGGAAAATAATACAGTCTTTGCCCAAGCATAAAAAAGATAGTAAAGCAAATGTCAGGCAGACCTCTTAGAGGAGGTTCTAAAATAGGAGTGGCACCATCAGAAAAGCCTTTTCCCTGCCCCCCACTTCAGCGGCTACTTTTCTTGTGTTCCTCAACTACGGTTTAAATGCTCTTCAACATTTATCTTAGTGACTGGGATAAGGGAACACAGAAAATATTTATCATATTTGCAGAGGACACAAAATCAGATGGAATACAGAAGCCAAATTCAAACAGATTTTGATAGGCTCCAGCACTGGGCTGACAACAGCAGAATGAAATTTTATTGGGATAAGCGCAAAGTTGTACACCCATGAAAAAACCAAATGCACAGTTACAAGATGGGGGATACTTGGCTCAGTAATACTGTGTGCGAGAAGAATCTTGGAATTGTTGTAGATCAGAAGCTGAATATGAGCCAACAGTATGATGTGGCTGCAAAAAAGGCAAATGCTATTTTAGGCTGCATTAACAGACGTATAGTGTCCAAATCCCATGAAGTACTAGTTCTCCTCTGTTCAGCATTGGTTAAGTCTCATCCTGAGTACAATTCTAGATGCCACACTCTTAGAAGGATTCAAGCAAACTGGAATAAGTTTTGAAGAGGGCAACAAGGATGATCGAGGGACTGGAAATCAAACCCTATTAAGGAAAGACTGAAAGAGCTGGGTATGTTGAGCCCTGAGAAGATAAGACTGAGGGGACGATATGATAGCACCTTTCAAATACTTGAACAGTTGTCATACAGAGGCAGGGCAGGATCTGTTCTCATCATCGCAGAGTGCAGCACATGTAATAATGGACTCAAGCTACAGGAAGCCAGATTTTGGCTGAATATCAGGAAAAGCTTCCTAATTGTTAGAACAGTACAACAATGGAGCCAATTACTTCAGTAGGTGGTGAGTGCTCCAAGGCATTCAAGAGAAAAATATCTACTTTGATGTGGATTCCTGCATTGAGCACTGTTCTCATCATCGCAGAGTGCAGCACATGTAATAATGGACTCAAGCTACAGGAAGCCAGATTTTGGCTGAATATCAGGAAAAGCTTCCTAATTGTTAGAACAGTACAACAATGGAGCCAATTACTTCAGTAGGTGGTGAGTGCTCCAAGGCATTCAAGAGAAAAATATCTACTTTGATGTGGATTCCTGCATTGAGCAAAACATTGGATATCTATTTTGATGTGGATTCCTGCATTGAGCAAAACATTGGACTCGATGGCTTTATAGGCTCCTTCCAAATCCATTAGTCTATGATTTTTCTTAAACAGAAAAATAATATTCCTAAAAATCAGATCAAAGGTTGCCGTAATCGATAATCAATCAAACTAGTGCTGGATTTCAAGGAATTTCAAAAAAACAAAAACCCCACAATACCTTTGTGTCTTCTTCTGTCTTCTCCTCTGTGGGGAAGTTAGAGGAGGCTTTACATTTCTTAATAACATGTTAGATTGTAAAATGGCCTAAATAGAGTGACAGTCAGCCAGCTGTTTTGGTTTTACCCTGGCAATCATATGTGCCGGAACTAAACCAAAACAGGTTAATCCTACCCACATTTAAAAACACACACGAAACAGTAGTGCCTGCCAGGGACCCAAAACAGGACATAGATAAAGGACAGTCTGGTTTGCAATTTTGTACATCATCTGGTTGCCAGAAAAAGGAGCAACTCAGCTTGTTCCCAAAGTGGACCAAAATGCAGGTCAAAGCTCTGTCTGATGAAGTGGATCAGTACCACGCTACAGATTTTACAGAAGGGTCGCATGAGGAGGGAACACAAATGCTGAGTGAAAATAGTCAGGTTCTATGTTGGTTTTTGTTGCCAATTTTTCTAAGCTGAATGCTGACACAAGACCTGTGCTAAGCTTCAAATCACAGAGTGTTAGCTAATTGGACCTGAGGCTGCTAAGCTTCTTGGGACTTATTTGCACACTTGTGAGAGAAAGTAAGATTAAAATGAAATTACTCCTCCTGAAGCTGCACAGCTAGGGAGACAGAGCAAATAATTTTTTTTGAATTCTGATCATGCTTATTTTCTAAAAGGGTAAGATTTCACTGGCATTTGGAAGTTGTGCTTGCTGAGTGAAGCACTTTGAATAAATAATACTGTACAGGCATATAATATCAGGAAGAGTAACATAACTGAAAAGTTTGCTGCATTGGGTCCCTAAATTCAAAGAAAGAAAGGAAGGATATAAATTAAATTCAGTGAATGAATGAAATGAATAAACCCTAACCCCCTTCTGTTGCTTTTATCAGCTTTTATTAGCTGCTGTTGTCCATCTTGGACAGTTCAGACCCTCTTTTCCTTGTGGGCTTCTCAGAATTCTGTGGTGATTGTAACACTGTAATAAAGGGGGAAGTGCCCTTTATAACAAAACATGTTATAATAAAAGACTTTTTAAAAAGAACATTATGGGCCACTGGAGGCACCCAACAATAAATGTTGCAAATTAACATCACCTATGTTCGCTGGGTATTTTGCATTTGCAGGAAGGGAGCAATTGCATTAAATATGGCTGTGCTGGTCAGATTTGATCTTCAGCCATCTATATGCAGTGGCGTGGTCCCTGAATCTCCTCTAGTCAACTTAATATGCAAAGGTTTAATTCTAAATGAACCTACTTAGTAGTCGGTCTCAAAACTGCATTGCAACTTATTTCTGAGTATTTTTATTTCACATCAGAAGCTATTAAGCTTTGAAGTAGAGTTGCTAATTTTGAACTCTTAGCTTCCTAGCATTGTGCTGAAATCTAGATTCCCAGCAATTCTGAAAATCTGTATATTAAACATTACTCAGAATCTAAATAAGTTCAACCTGTGTGGTGTAACCAATTACTCAGAATCTGAATAAGTTCAACCTGTGTGGTGTAACCAAGTGACTGTAAGGTATATTTAGTGGTGTTGATGGTGGATGTGAATGTGAAATTTGAAGCCAGCTACAGTGTTCCTAATCTTACTGTGCAGATCACTGATGCATCCTTTTAAAAATTCTGTCCTCTCTAGTTACAAGCTATTTCCAAGCTGTGTTCCATCTTTTGGATTCCGCCACCTTTTGTCCCTCACGGATAAAGCTGACAGGTTCAATGAAGAAGTCCAGAAACAGAAAGTTTCCCGTAACAGAGATGCGCCAGAAGGTGGCCTTGATGCAATCTTGCAGGCTGCTGTGTGTGAGGTGAGTAATTTGGGGTGAGGGTGGGGTTTGTCAATGGCTGAATGTATTTGCTGTTATTTATAGCAAGCTGACACTGGGAATATTTGAAATGGGAGGTCTACCAGAATGTTTTCTCTTTTCAAAAGTTTCAAATGTTAATAGAACAGCTTGGTTATGAGGATTAAGATTAGCATACAAAAAGGGCATTACTCAGTAATTTTGTGGTAAGATGGCAAGCAGTTTTCACACCTGAAATGTGTATATTTATTTCATCACAAGGTAGTAGGGTGATTTGCTCTTTTAGTGCAAACTTCCTTGTGCTTCCCTGTATTCTGTCGACATCATCTCCAAGATATTTCCATGGAAACTAAAATGGCCATTTCCCATTGTTACTTGTCCCTAGGGCTACTTTGTCAAGGGCATCTGTCAGTAGTTATTAAGTATGCCTGGTGTGTGACCTATATTTACATTTTGAACTGGGATTATGGTATAATGGGCAAAGAACCCTTTCTCTGGTGTTTCGTTTCATTTTGTTTTTGCCTTTGACAAAATGAGATGTAGTGTTGCTAGCTCTTGCTTTAGTGACCTGTCATTGCTCTTAGATACCATTGCATCTGTTCGACCAAGCTGCAATTTCTGTTGCAGGCTTTCCTTTATATTTCAAAAACACTTTCTGTGCTGACCCAAAGACAAGCCTGTGTGAGATGCAGAGACACAGTTGCCTCTGATCGGCTGCCTTGGCAGAAGTTCCATTACTGGCAAGGCGACAATTTTTGGTCAAACCACTGGTAGCGTAATCAAAAGATAATATGTTTATTGCTTCCCAGGAGGGGAAGTTATTTCCTGCTTTTATGAGGAGAAATTAAAGACCACATCGTTTTGTGGCACCTTCTGCTAATAATGCCTCATATGGTGTAGAGTTGTTGCTGGTGATGATGATGGTGTGTGTGTTGTTTTTGCAATTCTCTTCAAGCTTTTGTTCTGCTGTCCAAAAAAAATTGGCCTGCTTTCCTGAATTGCAGGAGCGGATGTAAATTACTTCCCGCTTTCTGGGTTCCAGAACTGTGATCTGTAATAGTGTAACTTGCACTGTGATTTTTATGCAGGCTCGTTGAGTCCCTAGGACTAGTGGAGTACAGATTCATATGTTGGGTATCCCACTCACATTAGCTTTGGGGGGAAAATCAGTCTTGCCTATAGTTGCAGAGGACACCTAAGATTGATGTGTTCTGTTTTTTGTCTTACTCTTGCAGCATTTATTCATAATGGTTTTTCCTTGAAATAAGAAACATTACCAGCCAAATTATGTCCCCTACCTACTTCTCTCCATGAGAAAAGTAATATTTTGTCAGGCTATGGCAGGGAAACATTGCTGAGCAAGGTTGTTATCAAAGAGATGGAAGGAGGAGATGGACCATTGTTTCGCTGAACTTAGAGAATAAAGTATTTCACATTTGGACCTCATGGTATATGACCCTGGTCATGCTATTTCACCCCACCAGTCATCTCCATCTTGGGGCTGATTTAACCATACAGTAACTCCCATGGCTTAAAACATCTTGCCAGGCTTTTTTTTTTCCTTTGATGTTTTTCTGTCCTACTTTTAGATTTTAGTTGTTTTTGCCATCTAGCCTTTGGAAAATTCTCAAAAACATAATTGTTTGCACACCATTGTGAAAGTTTAGTAGTTCCTAATAAAAGTATAAAAATAGCAACACGAATTTGACCAAACTACAGGAGGCAGTGGAAGACAGGAGGGCCTGGCGTGTTCTGGTCCATGGGGTCACGAAGAGTCGGACACAACTAAACAACAATAAAAGTATTACAATGGTGCCTTGCTTGATAATTCATTCCATTGAAATAGCTGTACAGCGAAATCCTCATCAACCGAAACGAAAAAGCCCATTGAAATGCATTGAAACCGGTTCAATGCATTCCAATAGGCTAAATACCTCAGCATCCAGCGAAGATCTTCCATAGGGGCGGCCATTTTCAGTGCCTGTAAAGTGAGGAATCCATCCTGAAAACACAGCGGGGAGCCATTTTGCATAGCACGTGGCAATTTTAGGGCCGCCGATCAGCTGTTTCTAAATCGTCGTTTAGCAAAAAATCAGTTCCCAAAGCAGGGAACCGATCATCGTTAAGCAAAATTTCCCTATCTAAATATTGTCAAGCGGTTTTGTCGTTTAATGAGGTAATCGTTAAGCGAGGCGCCACTGTACAGTGGTGCCCCACATAACGAGTGCTTCGTTTAATGACGAATCTGCATAGCGATGGCTTTTTTGCGATTGCAAAAGCGATCGCATTGCAATGTTTTAAATGGTAAAACATCACTTTGCGACGATCGGTAAGCTGTTTCGCTTACCGATTTTCACATAGCGATGTTTTTAGAACAGCTGATCAGCAGTTCCAAAATGGCCACCAGGTAAAAAAAATGGCCACCCGCAATGTTTTCGCGCCCATTCCTTGCTTACCGGGCAGCGAAAATGGTGGCCATATGGAGGATTTTCGCATAACGGTGAGTTTTTTGCCCATAGGAACGCATTAAACGTGTTTTAATGCATTCCTATGGGCTTTTTTGTTCCGTATAGCGACGAATCCACATGGTGATGATTTTTCCGGAACGGATTATCGTTGCTATGCGGGGCACCACTGTACTTCTCTTGTGGATTTTGTTTTGTAAAAATGTCAGCTCTAGATATTCTACTTTTGAGGGTTTTAGTATATTCTTTGCTCTGTATTCTAATTTTGTGCTCATAGTTTTCTTTATAGTCTTTAGGTTGTCTGTTGAGAATTTGAAGGGCACTAACAGTACATTCTTTTTCCTCTTAGGTTGTCTATAGCAGTAGATATCTCCTGATTTCATGCTGACATGTCAACACATGCATGAAAACTGACAGATTTTGTTTGTTTGTTTGCTGCGTAGAAGGAGATTGGATGGCGGAAGGAGGCTTCTCACTTGTTGGTCTTCACTACAGATGATGTCCCACACATTGCACTGGATGGGAAGCTGGGTGGATTGGTGCAGCCACATGATGGACAGTGTCACCTAAACGAGGCCAATGAATATATTGCATCCAATCAATTGGTGAGAATACTCAGCACTGTGTGCCTTTCCCTGCCCCCCCTTTAAATTTTTTTTTCTAGAGCTGTGCCTGAGGCAAAATAGTACAAACGTGGTCTGCATAATCGAAACCTTTGGCCAAGATCCAATAATATGTGCCACCTAGATCCTATTGCTTCCACTTCGGGTCGGAGACCCCTTTCCTTCTGCAGCCTCCTATCTACCCTAAGAAACTCAAGAGAACTGGGAGACCCTCTGGAGCAAGTTTTTTGCACCACCGAGGTCCAGAACAGGAGGAAAAGAGGAAGAAGTTCCGATTCCATTTGTACCAAAGTACGCTTTTAAATCTTGACCATACTTTCACCCCATGTCACCCTCCCAACACTTTTTAGTGTTGGAAAGAAAAGAGGCGAGGCATATCCAGTATTATTGCTGTTTATGGATGGTGCTTACCGCATTTTATCTGAGGTATGCAATTGTCTCTTCTCAGCATGTCGGTACCAGTGCTCCATCTTGCATTTCTTTTCAAAATGGAAGCATGTGTTTCTTCAGAACACTCAACTGCTGGTGCAAAGGGTTGCTGTGCACCTCTTGATGTAGAGTTTACTTTGTGTCTTAATGTTTTTGGAAACAACCACATATTTTAGATTTGGCCCCGTGTCTTACCCTTCACTGTCTCAGTGCTTCTATGTATCTTGTGTTTCCATATATGTGGTTGTCTATAATAATAAATAACTGCATGTCAGCAAATCAATTCTGACTTATGATAACACTTCTCAGCATTTCCTAGGTAAAGTGTACTCAGAATTCTTTCACCATTCCCTTTTTCTGGGGACACCCTGGACCTGTGCAACCTGCCCAAGGCCACACCGGCTGGCTCTACTCCCAGGAAGCACAGTGAACCCCCAATCTCTGACTCTGTGGCCAGGTGCCCAGCTCACTGAGATATCCAGCCCTTTGTGGTCATGAGTAGGTGTTAGTAATCAAAGAACAAAGTAAACCCGGAGAGTCAATGCTTGATTTGAGAGAGGTCTGCAGATAGTTTTTCAGTTTTCTTGATGAAGAACCAAATTCCCCTTGTATAACTATTATTGTTGTTTCTGCCAGCCAGGCAAACTGCAAACCCTAATTTATTATTGTGCCCTTAAATAAGTGCGCACTGTTCTTCTCCTTCCACATTGAAAAGCTTTGCTAACTGTCTGTCTTATGACAATGGGCGGAAGTTCTCACACAGAACTGTCCTTTGTTTTCCAGAGTAAACAAAACAAACGTACATCTTCATTCGCATTCCTGTCAGTGGTGTACTAGCCTGGACATTAATGAAATGTTATTCTGCAATCATTGTACCAGGAGAATAACAATACAGTTCATGTGGAAAAGTCTAGATATAGATGATCAAAGTTTGCTCAGTGATGTTGGCTAAATAAATCTGAGCTTCTCCATCTGTAAAATGGCATTGTTACTGGCCTTTGAAGGTGGTCTTGAAACTTTGGTCAGTACAAATTGTTGCAGCAAGAATATGGATTGGGGCTACGTGCTACAGTCATACTACAGTCATATTGTACTGTGTTCCCCCTGTTTTGTTTCCGGGCCAATTCAGAGTTTTGGTATTAGCCTATAATGTGTGTCATGGTTTTGGATCAGAGTGTCTGAATGATCATCATCATCAGTATCAGCAGCATCATAGAACTGCAGAACTGGATCATGAAATCCATCCTTTGTCAAGAAGGCACAGTGATGAATTGAACTCCCAACCAGTGGCTCTACATTTCTTCCTGTTTATTCCTATTGGAGCCCAGGATCAGTTTCTGAGATGCTGCTCTGTGGGTCCTCACATGTTGAAAGCCCCCCTCAAGTTATAGAATGTCTTCCCTAGAGAAGTTTGTCCCTTGATGTCAGGCAAATAATGTTTGATTCTCACAGGCTTCTTAAACCTGTCTCTCTCTGTTTACAGAGGATTAGTAGATTTTTTTTCATTCTATTCATATCTGTGCTGGACATATCATGAGATGAAAAGACTCACAGGAAAAGATACCAGTACTAGGAAGAGCTGAAGGTGGAAGGAAAACAGGAAGATATAACTTGAGATGTTGAATCAATAAAGGAAACCCCAGCCTTTAGTTTTTGAAGACCTGGCCACAGCTGGTAATGATCAGGATTAGAGATGGCAGCTGCAGCTTCACTTAAGGTAGGGAAGCTGCAGCTGCTGTCTTTGCAAAGGGCATCCAGTCTCCTTTTTTACATGCCATGGCTGGGAGGCCAGATGGAGATCTTGGCAGTGGTGATTCAAGTAAGGGGGT